CCTGCCGAGCCTTTGGGGCCTGCTCATGGCCAGTGCTCCCAGAACCCCAGCCCTGTCCTGAGACAGGACTGGTGCATGGCCGTGTTAGGGAGCTTAGGTAAGGGAATGGGCCAGTCGGGCGTATGGATGGGCTGTACAGACATGCTGAGTAACTGTAACCTTCATGAAACCAGTGAACACCTGGTGCTGGGGCATCTTAGAGTGTGGGGGATCAGGAACTGTACTGTGGTGGCCTCTGCTTGTCCCTGAGTTTGACAAAGCCTTAGCTGTGATGGCCTAAGCAAGAAAATGGTGCCATAAATAGTGCCCAAAAGGTTTTTTAAATTTATTCATAGAATCATAGAACCATAGGATGTTGTGAGTTGGGTGGGACCCACAAGGATCATGGAGTCCAACTCCTGTCCCTGCACAGGACAAGCCCAACATTCACACCATGTCCCTCAGGGCCTTGGCCAAATGCTGCTGGAATCTTGTCAGGCTTGGTGCCATCAGCACCTCCCTGGGGAGCCTGTTCCAGTGCTCCACCACCCTCTGCCTCAAGAACCTTTTCCTCATGGCCAACCTCACCCTCCCCTGCCACTTCTCCCTGCCATTCCCTCTGCTCCTGGCATTTGTTGGTGGCCAGAGAGAAGAGATCAGCGCCTGCCCCTCCTCTTCCCCTTGGGAGGAAGTTCTAGACCCCCATGAGATCTCCTCTCAGTCTCCTCTTCTCCAGGCTGAACAGACCAAGTGACTTCAGCCTCTCCTCATACCCTTCCCCTCTAAACCCTTCCCCAATGTTGTGTCCCTCCTCTGGACACTCTCCAGCAGCTTTAGATCCTTTTTATCCCGTGGTGCCCAAACTGCCCCCAGTGCTGGAGGTGAGGCCACCCCAGTGCAGAGCAGAGCAGAGCAGGATGATCACCTTCCTTGACCAGTTCTTGCATATTTTTACTAAAACATGTCTTTTAGCAGTAACAGTACTATTAAAAATACAACAATACACTGTGGTATAGAAATACACATATAGAATCTATTTAAGAAATATTTAATATAACTTTTTAACGTGGGGTTAGTCAAACTGATATTGGACCTATGCCTACTGCCATTGCAGACTGTCACAACTCTTCCTTAATTTAATTATTTATTCATTATATTTCTCTAGAATTCTTTTATGGTGTTTAGCAAGGGACCTTCTAAGTTTCATCCTTCAACTTTTTCAGCTTTACTGATAGCTCACTGGAAAGCAGCAGTAAATAAAAAACTGTTGCAGCCCTTCGGGGAAAAAAAAAGAGGTTCTAGTGGAGCAATCCTTTAAAAGCCAAAGTGCTGTTTGAGTTTGTGATAATGGGCCCCATGTTACTGAATCTGAAAGTGAGCAGAATGGAATGAAAACAAATTATAGGTTCCTCTGCCTGTCACGCTCTTTATCTTTCTCTAGTTGTTTCTATCACTGGCTCACTCAGTCTCGAAAATAGCATGAGTTATCTCCACAGCTTTCTGATCTGATCCTGGCACTTTCAGACATCGTCACAGTTCATTACAGTCAAGGCTGAGATGACAATAGAGTCACAAAAGTGCTTCAAAACATGTTGCTCTTACAGCTTGTTTACAGTTGTTTTTTTTTCCTTAACTAAAATTGCATTATCCAGAACAGTTTATTTTTATAGTACTTTAGCCTCTGTCAATCATCATAAAAGCAATTTACCTACTTTAGTAATTAAAAGGAACCTGCAGCATGGCATCATTAATAGTAACATGTTCCAAATAATTCCTCTTATCTGTCTAATCAAAAGTTCAACAGATACTTAGAGAAACAAAGTAGGCCATTTAGAAGAAAGCCTTGGAAAACTCCATGATGGCAGCTAATATCCCCAGATATCATTATCTGTGTTGTATAGTAAGATGGAAAATAGATTTTTTTTTTCCACAGAAACTTTATAATTGCATTTTTAAATGGCTATGACAGTCTGAATCATTCATACTTCACTAATACAAGGACTGTATTTTTTCTTGTTCCATTAGCCACGATATCCAATTCCCACAGAAGTTAGCCTTGAATAGCAATATACTGGAAAACAGGCCACTTGCCATCCGAGTGTCATGTTCTTCACAGTCTGTCAAGGCCCAGGAGGCAAAGTCTTGGTTTGTGCTTGGTTTATGAGAAGTTCTGCCTCATCCACAACTCACCCACAAGCTCCTTTTGCGATATCCAAGGGCTCCGCGCCTCAGCTTTTCTTTCTGTGAAATAAGCCTTTCCATTTCAGCTGGTTCTCCACTTCCCCATCCATAAAAAGTTACAAAATGTTATATGTAAAAAAGCCCCCAAACAAACCAAGTGTGCTACATCCATCTCAGAGACTATGTCTGTAATAAGAACTTTTCTGGCCAGCAGGCAAGGACACAGTGCAGACGGCATCCAGGCTCCAACTTCTTTCCTGTGAGGGTGCCAGAGCCCTGGGACAGGCTGCCCAGAGAGGGTGTGGAGTCTCCATCTCTGGAAATGTTCCAAACCCACCTGGACACTTTCCTGTGCAACCTGGGGTAGGGGGGAACCTGCTTTGGCAGGGGGGTTGGACTGGATGATCTCCTGAGGTCCCTTCCAACCCCACCATTCTGTGATTCTGTGATTCTGTTGGCTGCCACCCCCAGATTCCTTGAGGGACACAGTCCCCAATGTGTCCCCTGAACCCCGGCCTGGGCAGAGCGTGCTGGCAGAGCGTGCTGGCAGTTAAATAGCGTGGGTGTTTACAAGTTGGTGCTCAAACTCGAAAGTGAAAAAATCCTTAAGGTGCTGTTAGTTTTTTTTTAAACAACTGTCGTTTGTATCAGTGATTAAGATGTGTGTGAGCATCACGTGTAAAGCAGTTTTTAAAAGAGGATGGTTACATCTTAAATATAATATACATAATGTCCTTGGTTTTTTTCCTCAAAAATGACCCTCCTTTCTTAGAATCACAGACTGGTCTGGGTTAGAAGAGACCTTAAAGCTCATCCAGTTCCAACCCCCCTGCCATCAGCAGGGACACCTTCCACTAGACCAGGTTGCTCAAAGCCTCATCCAACCTGGCCTTCAACACTTCCAGGGAGGAGCAGCCACAGCTTTTCTGGGCAACCTGTTCCAGTGTCTGACCACCCTCACAGTGAAGAACTTCTTCCTAATATCTCATCTAAACCTCCCCTCTTCCAGTTTAGAGCCATTTCCCCTTGTTCTATCATTAACAATATTGATTGAAGTAATTCCGATACAGACTGAAGTAATTGTACAGAACTAATTAATTTTAAACAGAACTCCATTTCTCTCCCATTTTAACACAGCATTCAATACTTTTGGAAGTGAAAGTTTCAAAATTGAAATGACAACTTTTTTTCCCCTTCTGCAGTCAGTGGGTAAGAGCAGCTTTGCCTTTGCTCACCCTGATCTGCACTGAAACACCCGAATCATGCAGTGACACCGTCAGGGAGGCTCTGAAGTCACGGCGGGGGGGTTCCCTCTCCCCTCTGTGAGCGGGACAAGCGGCTGCCGTGACAACCAGGGTACCGGGGCGGGTGGGCAGAGGGGCTGGGGTTGGGGTTGGGACCCCGGCAGTGTGGTGCCATGCCCAAGCGCAGATGCACCCACCCCAGCGAGCAGCGTGCTGGCATCTGGGTGAGGAGTGTCCCGTGTCACCCATGGAGCTTCTTTATCCTTAAACTCTTGCAAAAATGTCGTGGTAAGGGTGACTTGGTCCTTTAGTTGGAAACAAGGTTTCCTGTTCCTGATGTGGATGAGGAAAAGGCGCCCTGGGTTCAGAGGAAGTGAGCTAAAGCATGGTTTAGTGCTGGCCTTGGCAGTGTTGGCTTTGCAGTTGGACTCGATGATCTCAAAGGTCTTTCCATCCAAAACAATTCTATGATTCTAAAGCAAACTCTGGCAGGATAATTTTTTCCAGTTTTCCAGCAGTGCTAGAGGTCTCTTATGTTATATTTACCCCTAGCTGATTATCTTCTGGAAAATGTCAGCTGGCGTTGGCCTTGGGAGAAGTGCCGTGGTCCCTGTCAGAGGCCCTGGGCTGGGACATCTCAGCATCCCAGGGCACTGCCACACATGCCTGGCACGGGCTGTTCTCCACTCTCTGAGCCCTTGGGCCTCCCGTTTGGCTGAGCTGTTCCCCAAAACTCTTGTGCATTCAAACCTGTGGTTGTAACAACAGCGGGAGCAGCACGGTGGGAAAAAAAAAAGACCTTATAGCAGAAGTGGTTTTGCTAAGTGGATTATTGCTGTGTAATTAATTTTCAGAAAGTTCCTGGAGAAATAATGTTCTTGTCTGTTTTGCTGATCTATGTCGTAAAGTCTTTATAGTAGGGGTAGTGTTGTGTGTGGGGAGGCTCCTGATTTTTCCAGAGGCCACTAGGTGCTGCTACAATCCAAATAATAAAAAAATAAATGGGAAAATGCAATTTTACCCACATTTCTCATCAGATTTATTTGTTCTTTTGTTGGTTTTTTTTTGTTTGTTTTTTTTTAATGGGTCACAACTTCCATTATTTTCCAGTTTGCTCACATTGGAGTATGCCAGAGTCAGCTTGAGTCAACTACAAGGTCTGCACAAAAACAGGTCCAGAACTCAGGAGCAGCTCAGTATATTGAGGATAGATTGCCGCCGGGGTACAGAGCTCGGGAGCAGGTGGGTTACTGTGGCAATACAGTCACTTTACAGAGCTCTTGTTTTTGTTGTTTTGCAAGATATCACTTGCTAAGTTATAAGTAAGAATATGGCAGTTAGCAAGGCAGCCATAGCGGCCTGACAGACTTTGTGCCTCGGGGAATAAAATGATTGCTAGCTCTGCTAAGGAAGAAACATATTTTGCTGTTACTCAGTTATAATTTTGGATACTCAAAGTCCTGCTGTAGTTCCTGCAGATTTCCACCCTCAATTACCTTTCCTTATTAGCTACTACAGCTTTGAGACACGTTTATGTGCCAGAATATATTATGATGGATCCCAGTCCAAAAAATCTGTGTGTAAAGCCCTATAAGAATATTTAATTGGAATTTGATGATCTATTTTGAATTGAATGTCAGAAATCCTGTGTATTCAGGCAAAGGATTATTTGTTTGATCATTACAAAGTTAGAAACTTCCCATCTGAAACATTTTTTAAGGCTTGCTTAAAAGTGAGGAAATTTGGGACAATTTTGGAAACAAACAAAATACAGTATTTTAAAATAGTGAGTATTTAAAATGTTACAATTTCATAAGCACATTTTTTTGTCCTTATTTTATCATCAAACCGAGCTTTGCTTCACCCACCTACTTTGTACACAGAATATTTTCATTTTCTCTAAGCATAGCAATTATATTGAGTTTGTTTCACAGATTTTGCTATAATAAAGAGCAGAAATGGGCTAGGAAGGAATATTTAAAAGGGAAACTTGGGGCTAGTGAAAAGAAAAGGACAAGATTATACTGTTAACATGAGTATACATTATATTAATATTATGTATACCTTTCTGTGGAGCTTCTGACCTCAGCCACTGTCTGAAAGGAAGAGCCAGGTTAGGTGGACCTTTTATCAACACTAGTGTGACTGTTCACCTGATATTTTATGCCTTGTATTTACCAGCCCTTCACTGCTAAAAAAAATCAGTGGAATTCCTGTCTGTCATAAATCAAGAATTAAAATGAGATCAGCAGTGAAAGTTCGAAGGTGCATTAAAGGCTAAAATGTGATGTCACAGGAACAATCTGAGGAAGTTTGTTTATGTGACATTTTTAAAAAGTGCTGATAGAGTGTTGGAAGCTCACTGCATGTGAAGCTGGTCGCCCCTTAATCTCTTTGTATGAGGGAATTCACTGACTGTGAGGTTAATTAATTTTCTCAGAAATACAGTACTGTTTAAGCTTATATTACCTCTTATTTCTTACTTCATGATAGTCCTGTAATTATTCTGTAACTGATTTTTTTTAACCATTAGGAAATATGGGAATCCTTCTAAGAGATTATATTCAATATTTACCAGCTTAGTTTTTAATTTTTCTGCAGCATACAGGCACTAGTAATAAACATTATTCCTAAAATGTTCAGATTGACTTGCAATTGCAGTAGGATATTTTAGGAAGCCTTGTGCTTTACTGACTTAGAAGGTCACATATTTTAAACACATATAGGTGAATGTATCCATTTAATTTATTTATCCATTGAACTACAGTCTGGGTGAAGCTGTATGAGAAAACAAGTGAATGTGTGGCACGTACCTAAGAAAAGGTAGAAAATCTGCCTCCTGTACCAAGCTTAGAAGGTGCTTATTTTTAAACACATATAGGAGAATGTATCCATTGAATTTATTTATCCATTGAACTACAATCTGGCTGAAGTTGTATAAGAAAACAAGTGAATGTGTGGCATGTACCTAGAAAAGGTAGAAAATCTGCCTCCTGTACCAAATACCCTAAAATCTGACCACACAGCTGACTCCATGCTGACAAAATTTATATCTGGTGATTCTTCTTGCTGGATCAGGCCTCCAGTTCCACTTATCTTTAGAACTGATTCAGATTCACTTACTCTTGAAACACTGGTTTTTAAATTGTGTTACATTGAAACTTGGTCTTCTGTTTGGAGGTGAATATCATAGTTCCACACTGTTAAAAGTAAAAATTGCTAAAACATTTACAGAAAAAAATGTCATGTTCTCAACATGAAACAGGAAAATAATGCTTGAGGAAGAACAGAGGCAATATAATAGTCCAGAAGAGTTTTCAGTGTTTCAATTATTAGCTATTTTAATAATATCGCAATGATATATAGTAAACAAACTTCTAAAAAATTAAATATGTTAAATTACTTTTTTTAAATAGTTCTTTTGCAGTTGTCCTTTTTCCTTCTAAAACTCTAGCTTTATTTTAGAGATTGGATGAACATTATGTTAAAGAATGAGATTATAAATTAGTTATGCAATTAATACCTCCTCCACTTCCCCTGCAACAAGCAGTGTACATGGCACTCAGTACATAAATCATAGATTAATTCAGTTTTGAGGTCCCTTTTGTACTTCATTTTAATTAGCTGTAGGCTTGCTAGTGAATCAAACAAGGCAATCCTGACATCTACCTCATGTTTTGCTGCTTACAGACAGAATGTAGCATTTCTTATTTGAAAATTCACACTTTTGGATTAATTGTATCTCTATTCAGCAAGGCAAAGGAACGCAAATCCTCCTGATGGTTTTGTAAAAGCAAAAACAAAAACAAAACCCCAGAGGGTCCACATTGCCCCTATAAAATTATGTGCAGTTGAAGATACAACATATGAATATAACTTCTGTCTTAGCACATAGGCAGCTGTAATTTCAGCATCTGCCAGAATATAAGAACTAACACTAGTAGACTCCAAACAAGATGTGTAAAAATTCATCTTTTTTGCTATAATTTCTTTTTTTCAGAGAGCAGTGAATGACAATTTCCCATTTTCCTCTCATGACAACAGACACTGTCTACAGAATGTAGGAGAGTATTTTGACTTTGTAAGTACTCACCACTGAGAAAAATCAAGCAAGTTTGTATCTCCCATTCTGTCAGAGATTAAACACAGCATCTTTTCTCTCCTCTGCAAAAAATCAGAAATGCTAAGAATTGTGAGAAGAGAAAAATGTAAACAGCAAAGAAAAACACACTTGTTATGAGTACAGGGGTGTGACTCCTCTGGGGCTGGCACAGGTACACAGCAGCACACACGGTCATTGAGAGTGGCAGAGTTCAAGGGCAACAAAACCCCTATGATTTGGGGCTCTGACAGGCATTTTTCCAGTGGCTCTGTTTTTTCTGTATTAGCATGGTTTTGTCCCCAGTCAGTTGTCCTATTAGTCTGCTAAAAGTCATTGGCCTTGCAATGAACTTTTGTAGGGGTCTCAGCCACTCATAATTCACAGTCCCACGTATTTGGTTCACTCATTTATCATAAATTTAACCAAAATCCATAGGACACCCACAATCTATCTGCACAAGCCACAATTTTAAATAGAATTTAAATTGTTTTAGGCTTTTCTGTACGGGCAACAGTTGCAAGTTTTTCCACTTTTATCAGATTGTTGACATCTTTCTTGGCAGCAAAAGAAATTGTGCTGTTCACAAGATAATGAGTAAAGGAGGAAGAAGCAAGTCGTAATATTGAAAGTTTGTCTGACTGTGGGCTCTCTTAGAGCTAGATTTTTTGGTATTCATTATTCACTGAATAACTTCCATTTTGTGCAGTGTCTCATAGTTTCAGAGATACTGATCAACCACGCTTCCAAATAAATTTCCTGCAAGACATGGAGTGTGACAATCAGGCTCCCTCTCTGTGTTTGAACACACAAGGGATAGTTTTGAAGATTCAGATTTCATGGTCTGTCTCAGTTTCTTTATTGTGATCCAAACATAAAATTATTAACCTATTTCTTTGGGTTACTCTGAAGATTAATTTAGCCAAGTATCATAGAATCATGGAATCATAGAATGGTTTGGGTTGGAAGGGACCTTAAAGCTCATCCAGTTCCAAACCCCCTGCCAGCAGCAGGGACACCTTCCACTAGACCAGGTTGCTCAAAGCCTCATCCAACCTGGCCTTAAACACTTCCAGGGAGGGGGCATCCACAACTTCCTTGGGCAACCTGTTCCAGTGTCTGACCATCCTCACAGCAAAGAATTTCTTCCTCACATCTCATCTCAGTCTCCCCTCTTCCACTTTAAATCCATTAAGTATAGCTAAATAGCTTTTGAGTATATAGTATGCTACAGAAATGCAAAGTATAAATGGTTTATTAGTGCCAAGAGATGGAAGGTCAACAGATTTCCCATTATATATGCAACCAGAAATGTTCAGACAGGCAAGTCTGACAATATTATTTTTAACTTGCTAAAGATCAACCGTGAGTTCCCGAAATCACTGTGGTAACAGCTTCGTTAACTTCCCAGTGGGGTAGTGACTGTTACAAGATTCATCTGTGAAACTGTGATTATAAGTCATATGTTTACGTGAATTTTTTTTTTTGATTTTTTATTTATTTATATTTTTTTTACTAGGGTATGGGCCGGAGGAAGGTGGAACCAGAGAGACGGCAACACAACTCACATGACTTCTGCCTCTGGGCTCATGAATCGGTTCCTAGCAGCAAGGATGGATTAACCATTTATCAGACATCATTTGTGAAATACCAAAATACTGAGAGCACATTTTTTAGGCGGTATCCAAAACACCACTTAGAAAAACGTTGCCCTGACAAACCTGTTCCTGAGAATGAAAAAAACCTGCAGCCAAACAAGTCATCTTAATTATAAAAACACCTTCGTAGCACCAACTTATCATCTTCAGAGCCTTCTGTCAAGATCTGAACTACCTGTTACTCCAATGGAAGATGAAATAAACACTTGTGTAAAGTGAATGGGGTAGTGCAGTTGAGAGTTCATTGAAATCAACAATCATACATTACTCTGAAGAAATACATCCCTCTCAAAGCTTTAATGAAGAGGAGCTTTATGAGTAAAAGGATGTTTGTACATATTTGGAGAAATACCTCTCTTAGGAGAACAGAGGTAGCGATTGTACTTGTGTTATTTGATACTGGCTTGACCCTCATCTTGATACAAAAGCTCCTTCAACTTCAGAGCAGTGGTATGGCTGTACCTCAGGCAGCTGACAACATCTGTGTTGACAGAAGTATAACATGAAGCTGGATCCTTGAGATTTCACCACCACAACAGGGAGCCAAAACTGCACGTTCAGGTAAGCCAGAAACTTTTCTGAAAGGCTTTCATGACAGGTTCCTAACCATTAGAGAAACTAGATCAAAAAGAAGCTGCTCATTATTAGATTGTTGTGCAAAATAACTGTAGTGTTTGGTTATAGCACAGCAGTTTTGTAAGTAAAGAAAGGAAGGATGTTGTAAGCAATGTTTGCACGCCTGTGTGTGCCCTGACAGAATGTGAGTGTACAGATGCCGGCGTCATTCCTGGCAGTAAGGGGGGAAAAGCTCGAGCTGAAAGTGGGAGGCTGCGTGAAGGTTTGAGTTTGAGGTGGGCTGCATCTGAAAAGAATTCATGATTTTATAGTTCCATGTCCCTAAGGAAGTGATTTCAGAACCAATCCTCCAAGCACTTTGCTCCCAGAATACTCACTGGCTTTAGGATGTGGAAGGCATTAGAGTCAGACCTCCAAATAATGTGTTTTCCTCTTCTGGGTCATTTCCATTAATATAAATAAAATAATAAACCAAACTGTGTATCTTAAAATATACTACAAATAAGCTTGTTGCTATGCAAAATAATGTTGACTAAAAAAAAATTAAGTGTAAGTTTATAGGATAATTTCCTTTGTTTACAAGATAAATGGAAAAATAAGCCCTGAACCCTTAGAATTCTCTGCATTGTGAGAGATGCCTTGAAAAATGAGCTATATTAAGAAATTATTTCTGCCTTTCAGTGAATGGATATATCTTTTTGTATCAGCATGCAATGAATGACCTTTTTGTGTGTCATCAAAATAGATTGTACTAGAATATTTCCCCAAACACAGCAATTTTATTAGCACATGCTGAAATAATAAACTTCTCTTTTTTTTTTCATGAAGTTCCCCCTACTAAAGTTCTTGGGGTGCTGCACAATGTGTAGAAATGTAAAACATTAATGAACAATGTGAAAACAGATAAAAAGCCAAGTAACATAGTGTTATTAAAAATAATTACTTCTTTTCTCAAAGTAAAGGCAGCCTGCCTGACAACTCTAGAGTCAGAATTTCCAGCTCTTTAGCCAACAGTTTCATCTCCAAACTGATTCAGAACTGAAGCGTGTGCCAATCACATGGTAAATGAAGTACCCCATGCTGTTTGGCATACTCAAGAGGGCAATCTTGGACCTCCATCAGAAGGAAGAAACACATTCTTACCACATTAGTAATGTTTATCTGAGGTTTAACATTACAACTGGATATGGGGAAATAAATTGCTGTAGTTTGTTATGCCTTAAAACACCAATAGAAAGATTCCAAATTTCTTTTTTTCTCCTCTTTTTCTTTTTTTCTTCACATTTTGACTCAAACATGGATTGTTTGGGGTTTTTTTTAAGTAACTGTGGATTAATATGTGTTCTCAATGATAGTGTCATAAAAATTCCAGAGTAGAAACTGGAGACCTCCTACCACCTCTATACAAACTGAAATATACTGTGCTGGGCTGAACAAATCAAGTGATTCCCACATATCTCATGCTCTGGCTGTGTTTCTTGGGTAAATAACATGAGATAAAATACACTGAAATTAAAAAATGAATGATAAACACCCCAGATAAATTCCAGAAAGTCAGAGCCTCGTGCACTTTGGATAGAAACCATTATCACAGAATCATAGAATGGTTTGGGTTGGAAGGGACCTTAAAGCTCATCCAGTTCCAACCCCCCTGCCATCAGCAGGGACACCTTCCACTAGACCAGGAAGTCTGGTCAAAGCCTCATCCAGCCTCACCTTGAACACTTCCAGGGAGGAGCAGCCACAGCTTTGGGCAACCTGGGACACTGTCTCACCACCCTCACAGTGAAGAACTTCTTCCTTCCTTAGTTTTGTTTAATTGTGTGATAATAATGTCTCTGAGAAGAAGGCCCTATTGAGTTCAAATATTTTTGCAATATGGGGTTTTTTCCTTTCTTGGAGGATGGAGGAGAGAGGAGGAGGGCTGGTAACTCCCATAAATGTTTCCCAGTCAGTGCAGGAAAGTGCTCCCAGTTGGTAGTGAATAGGATCAGACTGGTGGAGGTAAGCTTGGCAGGATGAGTGTACTATGGGTTAACTCAGGCAAATACTACTCTGGAGAAGTAGAGGTGGTGCTGATAAAGGTGGACTTTTTTTGTACCTTGTTTTATTCTAAAAGCCTAAAAAAACCAAGCAAGTTTGTTTCCTTGAACAGTATCATCAACAATTTGAACACAGCCAAAACCTCTTTCCAGAAACAACGAGCTTTATACTGTAACCCTGTTGAAGGAGCAGCTCTCGTTGCCCTGTTTTTTCTCCTGAGCCCACACCAATTTAGGGACTGTCTCTACAGCTTGCTTAAGAAGTCTCATGTTAATTTAGAAGTGTTTTCAATACCTTGACTAAATTCACAGATCTCAAGCAAAATTGATTAAAAGAATTAAACCAAAGGGATGGACAGGTGGCTGTAAATTCCTTTGCTTTAATGAGTTGATACTCACCAGCTGAACCCAGAACAAGCTACGGTTGATGATTAATATGGCTCAGCTGAAGAGCAGCAACTTGTCACAGAGCTTTCCATGTCCTGGGTGAAGACAATTTGCTTCTCAGGTTGTATCAGTTCAGCTACATTGTGGAATACAGTCTTAGTCTTGTGTCTGTGTGGTTATGTCCACTTGTTTAAAGTGGGGTGTTTTTGTTTTTTCTGCCCTGGCTGCTGATAACTAGATCTGTGAAAATGGTCTCACTGGAA